AAAAGTAAAAAAACACTGTTGTAAAATATAGCGTGATCGTTCTGTTACCGAGTTATTGTCATGAGGTTTGCTACATTTCTTGTTAGTATGGCAGCTGATGTGGATATGCGAGCAAATGTGACTACTGTCTGACCACGCAAGTCAGATTTGGTCACTTGTAACTTGAAATCTGCACAGTCGGTCTGCAAAGTAAGATACAAGAAACAGATCTGATGTGCCATGCAGTGCGAACAAAGCCAAAACCCCTCCAAAAAATATCACAACCCCCCATAAAGTTTATAGTTGGTATAAAAAGCCCAGTCATTTGAGCATGAGTGTATGCATCACATAATCCCCTCCCTGGCCACTTTCTTCTGGTAGGCTGCACTTAGATGCCTAGTGTTTTTATTGTTGACCGTGAAAGATGATAAATGAGACCCCCTCAGAAGAGACCAAGGCGTATATTTGCGAAACAGTTTAAATCTAAATACACTGTTCAAATAAAATTTTTTGATATGGGTAATCACACCTGTAGTTACTTATGCAGTTAGATTAAATGATTTGATGGAAATGTTTTTTTTCTGATCCTGTTCCAGTATAACCTATAAGTAAATGTTTTACTATTCTTTTTTGATACATGTCTGTATAATTGTAATCTCTACCTGGCTTTCTATTTTTAAGCTAGCTTGCCTTTATGTCAGAATACTGAAATTGAGTTGTATTTAAAAATATGCAGTGTGGGGTGGGGGGGGGGCATCTTGAGGACTGGGATATCACAGAGCTATACATGACTTATGATGCTTACCCCTTTCATAAAGGGGTAAGTTGGCCAAGAAAATTGTTCATTTTTTCACCTGCTATATGAGTTCATAGTTGAAATACGCTGTACTGTGAATTAACATGAGTTACTTCAAAATTTGAGGTGTAACGTAGCAAGTTTACTCGGTAACGTACATTTTTTTTTGTTTGTTTTTAAAACACAAAGAGGTTACTTTCTGTGTAATACTGTTTTAATTCAGAAATTGTTATGGTATTATTTCTTGCTCTGTGTAACCTTACAGATGATTTCTTATGAAGAGCATGTAATAAATTAATAAATTAACATAAAGTTCTTTGCTGAAAGAATTTCAACTAAATATTTCGTAGTCTGCAATAGAAAGCTGCAACAGTATGTCATTGCTGACCAAGAAGAGGGTGGGAGAAGCCTTCAGACGTACGCCCATGGCATCAGACATAAAAGGAGCGATCTTTGACCAGAGGCTATTAAAAGTGGGGTACTCCCAAAACAGAACACTTGCATTTTGACTCCACACCCATTATTATTTGCTTATTTGTTTTCTTTATAATAATAAATAAGTAATTAGGATAATTAGACATTCCTAAGGATGGCTACTGTCACACCAGCAGTGTTTTTCTTCTCTCCTTCGCTTTTTCTAGTGTATCCAGTAGAGCCAGTAACACTGATTCATCAATGTAACACCTGTTCAGCAGTTTTGCTTGCATGTTCCAAGTAGTTAAAAAGTCTGTTGGTAAGGAAGCGTTTAGTCAAAAAATGATTCCGAACAGTGGTGTCATTTGATTTTACTGCTTATGAATTTTTGTGTCAAGGGATCCCCAAACCTGCCAGTTGAAAACTAATTTTTTTTTTCCACTACCTAAAAATATTCGAAAAGTTATTAGTTGATAGCTTTTAGACCTCCTTTCTGATGTGAAATTGTAACTTTGATATAAAAACATGTAATCTTTCAGCCCTAGCTATCACCCCTCTGGGACTCCTAATATGGGATTATCTCCATGTTATCTTTGGGCTGTCTTTAGTATAAATTCACATTTTAATTTTATTCCAATTAATTCCAAACTCTTGCTTAAAAGAGTACTTTATTTTTGGTTCACCCCAGATCAGCCAAGGCATGTTTGGTGTCCAAATTTTGCTTCTTTAGTTTAGCATTGCGGCTACAAGGCTAACATTGCTAACAAACACTGGAAGTCAGTAGTCACTTAAATCTTTTCTATTAATACCATCTACAAACTTCTTTTGACCCACTCAAACCTCATCCAGGTCTCCGTTAAGGTCACATAGATGTGGTTTAGAGTGAGTAAACTATAAAAATGGAAAACAAAAAATCAGTGCATGGCTGAACATTGTGGGCAACCATTTTAGACAGCAGGTGTTGGACTGAATTCTGGCTCCCCTTCGAGTGAATGCAAGTCATAGTTTTCTTTCTATTATTAACTGTCAAAATTAAAATTTCAAACTGAAGAGAACTGAGAGTCATTTTGAGCATGCATTTATGGAATAGATTTGAGTGACTATTGGCAAGGGTTTATTAGTAACGGTAGCTAGAGCACTATTGACTTCAAGGCTAGCTGATCGATTACGTCTGGGGTATGTGGAAAACTGTAAATAAAATATTTTGCTGAATCATCTGAATCTAAAAGCAAGCACTTGGGTAACATATTCTTTACTTTGCATGTTGTGACCCCTTTATTAAAACCTACACGGTAAGCCATGTATTATTGGAGGAGCCTGTTAGCTGTCATAACCTACTCCAGAGAAAGTACAGTTACAGAGAGCCTATTAACAGCGTCCAGAAGTGTCACATTATTTTAAAAAAGCTCTTGTGGGTATGCTACCAACAAAGATGAATGTGATTGGGCAGTAGTCCATTGTGAGAAAAAAATGGGAGAGGGTGAAGTAATATTGTAATGAGAAAAATTGAAGGTCAATTAAGGTCAGTTATTTTTATCATGTATTACTCGTGTTAAATGTTCTTATGTTTTATTTACTTTTTATTAGTGGTTTTGGGGGCATCTAGGGGCATCTAGAAGCCCTTTTTTGTAAATTTCCTCACATGAGTTGTAAAAGCCCATTGTCCTGTGGCAATTTGCAATGCATTTGTGCCTGTGTTAGATAAAGGCCCATTAAGAAAACTGTAGTGAGCTTAACCAGTGATGCTTTTGGTGCAGTACTATGGAAAATCCAAGAATAGGCCCAGACGTTTGTAATTCACGTAATCACCTGAGGGCATGAAGCTGAAGAACTGGCATTAATTTGAGGACTATTTTAGATGAAAACTGGTTCTTGTCCTGCCCCTGCTGCAGGCATGAGGTGTATTTCTGCGTGATACAATCATCTTTAATAAGCAGTTACATCATTCTGTAATTGAAAGGTTTTGTTCCACAATGCATTTTAGACCACTTTCAAGAATTTATACATTTTTTTTCTCCATGATATGTTGTTGTGGGTGGCCTTCACACATTCAATAAACTGTCAATGCTATATTATGATTAAAACTACTTTTATTAGAGAAATAAACATTTATTTTCCATCATACATCATTTGTTATTCTTTTTAAAAAAAAACTTGTTATATCAGAATGGATACAGCATTTTGGAATAATGCTCCTCAATTATTGAGCATGAATGTGGAAAGTGCCCACCCTCCATGATGTGGACCATTCCACCGAATTAGTTCAAACTGGAGTCCCACAGTAAGAAAACAAGTTAAAAAAAAATATTAAGTATTCAGACCTTAGGTATATATGAGGATGATGTTAAACCCAGTACGTTAATTGAGATTATAATAAGCAAAACCTATACGAAATCATGATTTATAAGGCACTTTCTGTTGGGAGGTGGCTGTCCCAAACCTTGATCCCTCAATTTCAACTTGCAGACCATGAGGAAGATATGAATTAAATTTGACAAAAAAAATTTATTAGGTTGAAATTGATTGCTGCTCCTTTAAAAATCTTTTAGATTTCTTTTAAAATTAAGTTGAAAGATGTATTTTTGAAAGATGTGGATTTATCCTGAGTTAAATTTTTGAACAAAAAAAAACTAAACACATTTTCTGCAATTAAGTAAACATCTTGTGTTTTAATGAAAAATGTTCTGATTTTGATTTTTCTGATTGAAAAATAACTGCAGTAAAAGATTAAACTAGGTTTACCGTTTTATTTGTAATTTTCTGACGGTCCCTTACACTGAAGCAGATTCAGGAGAAAACAGTGAGAAAGTAATCTGAGTCTGAATCTTTGTCAAATAGAAGAATGTAATAAAAGTGCAGTTCAGTAAAGGTTGTGGTTGTATTATATTGTCATCCAGTTTGGCCACAAAACTGTAATTAAGGTAGCAAGAAAGGACGGAACTGAGATGGTCACATGAATTTTACTGTCTAGGAGTTTGTGGCTGCTTAGCTTAGCCCTTTGCCTTCTTCTCTGAAGCCTTTTGGCCTGAGTGCGAAATGTGTGGCAAAACTCCTGTCTTGCTATGGTTTGTACAAAATAAATCAGTAAACAAACAACTTTTTTTTTTGTATACTGGCAGAAAAGGATTTTCTACCATCGCAGGACATACGCAGAAAATGTGTGGTGAGGAGAATTCCCACACAGTAATCTCTTCTGTGTTTGTCTGACGCTAGAGGGCGCTCCTAAGCAAGTCCAAAATGAATGTTGAGTCCTAGGCAGCTAATACAGCTAGATATTGTAAAATCGTTAATCATTTTTATATAGGAAAGTGCTCTAATTTTCTGAACACTGCCTCATGTATGTTCTTGACATCAGTGAGCGCTAACCACTGTACTCAGCCAATGAGTTGATCAGCTTGCTAACCATTCAGCTCCCAATACTAGCGTCCTACTACCCAAAACCTCTTTGCTTTAAAAGCAGAGAGATACTGTTAAGTTTGTTTTGATTTTTTTTAGCGGAATGCATCTTTCTACTTTCCAAAATTTAAAGAAATGCCCCTCACAAATGGTTAGAAACAAGTTTAACTTTTCGTTTTTAGCCGTTTAGCTTTATTCACCCTTTTCACTCAGGACTCGCTCATGGGCGCCCTCTAGTGTTTTGCAGTCATGTTTTTGATGTAATGGGAGAAGTAGAAAGTTGTCAGGCTCCCCTTAAACTGGCTGTGGCACAGGCTTAAGTTGGTACTAATTTTAAGCCTTAACTTTTATAATTATCCATAGAAATTATGTATACATGTGGGATACTAATTGGTGTACATTCTGAAATTTACAGTGAACAATCCAATACCATCAAACTTGAAGTCTGAGGCGAAGAAGGCTGCTAAAATCCTCAGGGAATTCACAGAGATTTCAAACAGACAAGGTCCTGACAAGCTTATTCCAGGTAAATGTCCTACCTTTTCATTTGTGTGACCGAGTGAATTTGTAAGAAAATCCACATTCACATGTAGGAAATAAAATCTAAAAAAATGTAATTTAAGCTTTGTAACAACCTGCAGCTTCTGAGATCGTATTACCTATACTAACACTATAAAATGCTAACATCAAAACATGGTCTACTCAGTTTGATCTAGTTTAACCTCACATTTTACAAGAACAATTAAACAAATTTGTATATACTATGATGTTTGCAACATCTAAGATGGTTCTTGTGATTACTCTAGTTTCAGTCTTTCTACAAAGTCATTTAAAATGGTTCATGTAATCTTTACTGTCACTTTCTTATATCTGTTACACATGAACCCTCTGTGGTGAAGGAATTGACCAGCCTACGTGCCCAAATTGCAACCATACCTGGCATAGAAACCCCATTGCTTTGTATAAAGAACGCATTTCTGTTGATTGATGTCAACTATGTACCTGACTTGTGCCAAGTATTTCTTCATGTTTGTCTTACGTGACTGGGCTCTTGTAGTGTCTTGACTGTAATATAACTATTATGAAAACAAACCTCTGGCTTTTTGTGAGAACACCTAGCACACTTGAATATTCATAAGTAACCAAAATGTGAGGAGAATATTGATCTGAATGCTCAATAGGCTTTATTTTAGGGTGTATTTATTTGGTTTTCACACTTAAAGTAATGATCAAAGCCGTGATGCATGTTTGTGTTACTAACATTGCAAGCACTAGCGCAGATGCTAATGGACAGTTGTGCTGTTGTGGGCCATCTGGACCACAGATGGGAAGCGGAGTGGATAGGAATCGAACACTGTTCTTGCTGAACAATGCCTAATGTGACTGAGCTGCCTGGAAAGCCGATCATGAACATTTATGGCTGATTTCTGATTTCTTTACAGCCAAATTGACCAGTGGCTGATATTTGTTTTTGTACAATGGCCTAAAAACATTTACATTACTTTCTATCAGCCATAGGTGCAATGTAAATAACCTCACAGCAAAGAGGGCCTGGGTTCGGTTCCCCGGCTGGGTAACCAGGGTCCTTTCTGTGTAGAATTAGCATGTTTTCACTGTGTCTGTGTGGGTTTCTTCCAGGTACTCCGGTTTCCTCCCACAGTCCAAAGACTTGTGGTCAGGTTGACTGGACACGCTACATTGTCCTAGGCGTGAGTGTGTGTGATTGTATATGTCTGTGTGTTTGCCCTGCGATGGACTGGCGACCTGTCCAGGATGTATTCTGCTTTCTGCCTAATGACCACTGGGATAGGCTCCAGCACCACCTCCGCGAACCAGAAGGATAAGAAGTTTAGAAAGTGTGTGTGTGTGTGTGTGTGTGTGTGTGTGTGTGTGTGTGTGTGTGTGTGTGTGTGTGCGCGCTCTTTAATGGGCCAAACCGAGCCAGTTTTTTTAAAATCTGAAACAAAAAAATCTGTTGCCTGTTGAAATTACATAAATCAAGTGCTTTATCAAAAGTAAGAGGCAACAGGCTATTTAGCACAATGAGTCATGCATAATTATGCTTGGTATAGTATACGTGTATTACATAGGTGTAGCAGCAGAATTCAAGTAATGCGAGTGCACTTACCTGACAAGTTTTTTACGTCATGTAATCATTGCAACATGGGTTGGCCACAATCAAAATAAATTTTATGATTGTCAATTGAGAGTTTGGACCAAAAATCATCTGATTCCAGTTTTCGGATTGTGTATTCCTACCAAATGCTAACAAAACACAACTAAGTAGCCCTCAGCCCCAGGCGCGCTCCATAATGGTTTCCATAATGGTTCTTTGCTTGAATGTGTTGTTCCAAGGGACTTTTACATTATGTAGAGGTCCTTTAAGCACCACTTCAAAGAACCCTTAATGGCATCTTTATTTTATTATACCTTTATTTTAAGGCTGTTGGTTTCATATTGTTAATTGATACACTCTTATCACTGACCTTCCATAGTTTGAGGCTACAGTCTGTAGGTTAGTGGTCATCAACTCTTCTCATATGGATTTAAAATAAACTCCAAAGCAAGTAGGGGTCCAAGGAAGAGAGTTAATGACCATCTGATGGCTAGTCTGGTGTACCACCCATGCCAAAAGTAGTTATTTTATTTGAAGACATTCATTCAGAGTGGTTTGATGTAAAATGTTCCTTTACAGAGAAACCTATTGACTCAGGGTCATGATATCTACAGTGCAAAATTAGTTATTTTATTTACTGTCAAATTTTATTTACTAACCTCAAAACTATCATAAAACAAATGCATCAAGCATCACGCGCCATGTTTGTAACCATTTCATGTACAATCTTTCTGTGATGTAGCTTTTAGATGCATTAAATGCTATGGACGTCTGGTTCCTGTCACCACCTCTGTAAACAATCCTGACTTCATTAGGCGTCCTTAATGACGGGTTTTAGATCCAGACTCAAATGCATTTCTATCAATTGGCTTTGAGTAACTGTTGAGTGGTTTATGCTGCTTGAGAAACAGGTATGGTACTGTTTATGTGTTTTTATGTGTAAATAAGCCTACTGTAAGTGGAGAACTGATTGTAAAGCACATATGCTACATAAACAAAACATATTTACTTACTTACTTACTAAATTCAGCTTGTTAATAGATTGTCTCTGTTTTCTGCTTCTCTTTCAAAAGCGCATGTGATTGCCAAAGCCCAGGGACTGGCCATCTTGTCCGTCATAAAGGCTGGGTTCATGGTCACTGCTCGGGGGGGCAGTGGGATAGTGATTGCCCGTCTTGCAGATGGAAGTAAGTTGATTTTATTTGAACATTTCTATATTCTCTTGCATTTTAAAATACAGATTTTTCTAAAATCTACCTTGCCGTACTTGAGACATTTTTTAAAAATTAGCACTATTCATGTTACTAACATATATTTATGTTGCTTGTTATTTGTAAATATAGCTTGAAATTAGTGTTTTTGGCTTATTTCTATATTATTTAGTAGAAGGGGGAGAGGCAGACTTGCTCATCCTTTGCAAATCCATATCATAATATGAGTATCTTAAACTGAGTACAGTGACCGATTTCAAAAGTATCAATGTATTGTATGACAGTAATCACACTGGCACTCTTTTTCAGTGTATTAACATTGAAATATCATTGTCAGCGTATAGTGTTCACATTTTGTCAAAGATGGACTTTGCATCTTTTCATATTCTGCTTTGGAATGAGCATTCATTTCTCTTGGCGACAGTCGTAAATGGCTGTGGAGAAATTCCTCGGTCTTATGTTTCTCACAGAAAAAAAACATTAACTACAAAACTGTTTAAACATTGATTGCATGTCAGACAAACACGAAACATGGTTCCTTTCCAAAATGTTGGATCTGTCCTTTAAAGGATGGCATGGTCTTACTGTAGCAGACAATTTGATATGTTTGTTGCCTGCACTGAATGTGTTTTGGAATATAGCCATTTTGGCACTGAACAGCAGATTCTTCCATGCTTTAAACATATGCCTGAGGGAGCAATGCTGATCATATTGTAAATATATTATAATAGATGTTATGTCAGTGAGTCAAAGCTTTAGGCCAGCTTGGTGATTTAGTTCTATTTTACATGGGGTGTATCATAGAATGACAGTTTGTCCTGTGCATACTGTTGTAGGATATGTGGTTTTCACTGTGTGAGACAGATCAGACCCCTGTATTCTCTTCCAAACTGAAGGTTTTGAATAGGGCTCGATGAAATGAAGACCTATACCTTTTTAGAGCCTTGGTTGGGAACAACGTTTTTAAGAGACATAATGGTAATGAAAAGCTGTAGAACTATAAAGCAGCATCACATCAACTTTTTCTTGTCTTATAATGCAGGATGGTCTGCTCCCACAGCCATCGGTATTGCTGGTCTTGGTGGGGGTTTTGAAATTGGTCTGGAGGTAGGTTCTCATTACTTTGGATTTCTTTCACTAGTCATAACATTGAGAGATTTTTCTTTTAAACAAGATCTTGCTCTGTAAAGGTGGAACAGAGCATGATTTGAAGGGTTTGAGCTGATATTATTATTAAATATTGCTTCTGTACATTGGTCTATTTTTTTTGCTTTAAATTGTCTCATTCAAAGTGTTTGAGTTGAATAAAACCAGTTAAACTGCTTGTTACCTTTTCTAACACCGTTTTCATTCTGAAATTGTAATCAAGAAATACACACACACACACACACACACACACACACACAGTCATGCAGAGAGTAAGAAGTAGTAGTTTATCTGTAAGACATGTAATGCATTTTCCAGCAATGCGGAGACATGGGAATTCTAGGCCGATGCTGATATCACTTATTTTTCATTTACATATAGTACTGTGCAAAAGTCAGAGACCACCCTTTCATTTACATGGAAAATTTACATAGACAACGCATTTTTCCAGTTATAGTTTGTCCGCTTTTGCCTTTATTACAACTTTAATTCTCTTCTGTGAGACTTGCTTTCAGTTTTCAAAGAAATCTAGAGGATATTTTCCCATATTTTCCCACTTCAGTCTTAAAAGTTGCTTGCATTTTCTGTTTCTCATGATCCGAATATGTAATGGTAACAGTTTTGGTGGTCTACCAGAGTCTTGCATGGTTGTTAGGATACCTGTTTTCTCTGTATCTGTTCATCATTTCTTGAGCTCCAATTTTGGAAACTCCTGTATTATACTTTCCTTTTATCTTTTCCCCTTCCCAAGTGGATTAATTCTGAAGATAACATTCTCAGAAATATTTTATGAAAAATTAATGATTTATACTTGATGGATATAACTGGAAATCAAATAAATGAAGGGTGATATCAGACTTTAGTCTGACTGGCTGAAATGTTCGAAGCTCTGTAAAATACTTGATATACACATATATGACTGCACGTATCAAAAGAGTTCTGTATTAATGTGCCAGGTTGTTAAATGAAATATGTGCTCTTCATGGAATTATTTTTGAAAGTTATGTTATTTTAATTATTTATTGTAAGAACTATTTATTGTGCTTCATGTTGTGTCCAACAGCATCCCTAACTGTGGTCAAACCACTGTAATGTATAGCCTTAATTGCCTTTTTGCTTTATTTGAGCACATTCTCATAATATTCAGTATTGGAAATGCTACAGTATGTTGCGTGGGATCAGCATCATAAAGCAACAGTGCTTATCTGTGTGGATCTGAAGATACCTGAAGGAAATTTCCTAAACAAGCCGTGTGCAAAAACAGTCTCATAAGTCCTCCGGCTGCCCTTTGTTTTGACCGCTGATGTTCTGTTGAAGGATTACACACCCAAAGACTGATTCCCTTTACACAAGTGCTATTTGCAGCCCGAACGCTGGCTTCATCATTTTTCAGCACGCTGAGTGGACGCTCCTATCTCTGGCCCAGGAAGTCACGAGCATGTGCCCCTGCTGTGGTCATTTGTCAGCACCAGGAAGAGAGAGTTTCTCTCGGTTTCATGACCTGCAGTTGCAGCCTTGGATGACTCATTGTGTACCGAGTGCTTGTGCGACTTGGCGCTCTTGATTAATTTTTTGAAGTATCCCCATGGTCCTAACTTGCCAGTAGTTAAAAGTGCAGTACAACAAGAGACTCCCTGCAAAGACACCAAAACCAGACTGTGCCTGTATCTCATCCAGATCTTTAGACACCAGCCGGTACTCAGTATTAAGGACACCAAATCATCTCTGAAGATACCTTTATTTCTTAAATGTTGTGCTGATGACAGATGTACAATAGATGTCAGGGTGGTTGTCAGAGTGATATATGAGTAGATTGCCCATAAGCACTGTGTAGTTAATGCAGTTCTTGGCAGAGACTTTTTAATGGAACCTGAAAAAACAAATGTTGTTCTATTTCTCCTTTCAAGTCATAAGTTGCAAAATGCAGCTCCAAGCCTTTAAAAGTATCCAACTAATTGGAAAAAATTCTGACGACAAAGGAACTTTTAATCTTGTCTGCTTTTAAGAAAGCATAGACAGGGTATTGCATCATAAGTGACCTTCATGGTGCAAAGCCAAGGTTAGAGGACCATTCACAAATATTGAAACTGTAAAAAAAATTGGCATTTTTGAGTCATCGTTAGACTCGTTCAGTTTACCAAGCCAGGCAGTATAATTCCTTGAAAATGTGTTTTCTAATATACTTATGTATGTTTTTTTCTAATATACATTATTTAATAATATGTATAAACTTGTGTTAAAGGACAAAGGTTATTAATGTATGTTTGTGCTACCTGGAGGGCAAAACTATATATATTTTTTTTATTTAATTTATACCATTTATAAAAGTCATAAAACAAAAGTCAATACATTTGATCACATTCTTGCAGATACAGCAGTGTGCATGCATTTTTTTTGTCATTTTGAAAGCCTTATTTGTCATTGAACCATTTCAGTGATTTTGATGTGATGCACCACATAAGATAATCCTTTATTAGTCCCACAACGGGGAAGCTGTCAGTGCTACAGTAGCAAAGGGATAGCAAGGCACTCAAGAACGGAAGTAACAAGAAGAGAATTACATACAATTTCATACATAATCATGACCTATACTATCTGTATTTGTTTTATTTGTAAAAGTTTAAGGACTTGAAAAACATACATGTGCTTGACTAAACCTTTGACTGCTTGTGTATGTATTAGTACATATAGCACTTGGTTATTAAAAGAAAATCCTGTAAATCCTAGATGTCTTATGGAAGTGAGGCATTATAATTTAATTCTGATTTACAAAAGCTCCACTCAACTAATCCCAACTTCCTGTCTATATCTGCTGAATTCAGCTTAATCATAAAGCACAATCTTGCACACACACACTAACACTCTCTAAATTGCTTTTCATCTTCAGGCATCAGATTTCGTTATCATCTTGAATCAGCGCAGAGCTGTGGAAGCCTTCAGCAAAGGGGGAAATCTCACGTTTGGAGGAAATTGCACTGTGGCCGTTGGGCCTCTTGGCAGGTACGAGCCATGACATCACCGTCTGTTCCAGACGTCTTCATCCTAGTGCCAGCGAGCAGAAGGGATGCCATAGAGTAGGTTAATGAGATAGAAACGTAGGCATTTAGAGTGAATGTTAAGCTTTTAAGTCGCATGTCACTGTTGTTACGTCTGTTTTCATGTGAGTGCATTCAATCCAGGACGCTTATCTTTTGAAACTGATAGCTATGCCCTGAGGCTCCAGACAAAGCTGTTGATGTGCTGTTGAGAGCTTGTGTATTTATTTTGATTGTAGCTTAATGTGTGAGAAAGTGTGGAAGGAATGGAAGAGGAATAGACACTAGGCTTTGACTAGTATTTGATTTGGCTTTTCAGTGAGTTACACAGTCAGAATAATTTGTATTAAGCAAATGCAGAGAAATGTTTTAAATATGTAATATAAGTCTTTTTTTGGTTTTGGGCATGTAAATTAGCTGTTGCAGCCTGAACAGTGTGCTTGAATAATATTTCAAAGAAGAGCTCTTTCTCTCTCTGATAGAGATAAATATAGCCGTCTTTTATATTGTGTTGATTTTAATTTTGGTATCTCATGAGACCTATTACCCTTGATGAAAGGTGATTTATATAGAGATCAGATCCGGTAGTGCTGCCAGCACCAGCTCTAACCGGCAGCCCAATTATCCATCATTCAGCAAGCAGGAGCATGTACAGAAGTCTCCTTCAGAATTACATATAATGATAGGAACCTTTGCTAAGCACTATGCTTTGTCAAGAACTGTTGGTTTGATATATAGCTTTATTGTTACACAACCATCTACTTTTGAAACGGTGACTGTGCACTTTATTGACTGATCCATCCAGTTTTTTATTCCAAAAAAAAAAAAAAACCTCCACATAGTGCAATGTCATTATTGTGTTCAGTAATTAATTGTGAGAAGATTGGAATGTTGTTATTAGATACCATGTGGTACTTTTAAATGTTTTATTCAGGGACAGTAACAACATTGGGAGCAACAGATCATTAAATGATAAATAACATACTCTAAATATCTACTTAGCAGTTTCTTGTCAAGTTATCTGCCTCAATATTAAACATGCGATGTAAAGTTTTTGTGGACACTATGAAAAAAAGCATTGCTGCTATTTATTCAGACAAGTTGCGGTTTCACAAAAGATTTTTTTGGATACACAGAGACATAATCTAACATGTGTCTGTACTAACAATAAGGCTTGTTACAGTTATTACATAATCACCTAATCACAGCTATTTGATGATTGCAGTTATTCAAGTTGACTGCAGTAATTTTCCACAGTTGTTAAAAGTCATATTGTGCTGAAACAACAAACAGAATGTGAATTGGGTGCGCTGGGTTGAGGTAAATAAAATAAGGCAGTAAATGCATTCATTGAGACGTCATGGGGCTTAAAACAAAGTTCAATCTTCTAGTTTGGGGCTTTAACATGTTTACAGGGCAGTACGGAGTAATGTTTGTTTGCCAGTAGATATACTGGCAGAATGAGTTAATTTGCTTACATTTCCTCTCTCCGGAAAACATGTATCAGTTGCTTAATTCTAAACATTCTGTCTAACTTTAGACATTTGCGTGAGAGAACTGATTTGACAATAACCAGTGTTGGCTACCAAGTAAACCAGCTAGCAAGGTGGCTCATCAGCTAGTTTGGCCACTTAGGCTTGCGCTTTAATAGTTGCATAACAAGAAAAGACGAAATGTTAATCACAATTATTTATATGAAAATTATAGTCAGCTAAAATTTCATGATTGCGACAGCCCTATTCAGAATTTTTGTGTAGATGTAGATTTAAGTATATATAAGTAAAAGGCTTGAATTGATAAACTCTCTACATAAGAAAGTAGTTGTGTCTAACGTATCACGGGTAGATTGCTAACAGGCTAAAATGATAAAATGATGCTACCTGAATGTCTGTTACAATATTCAAATACATGTGAAGCTGTGTGAACATGAGAAAAGTCATGAGCAGGCTAACATATATTACCATTATTGTAGGGGCGAATAAACAAGTGCTAGTTATAAAGGCTTGCACATTAAGCACTGTTATGTCATGATATGCACAGCTGATGCATGTTCATGAGTATGACTAAAGAATTGAGAGGTTAAAGAAATAGCTGGTATATTCCATGCTTTATTCTATGCTGGAACTCTCAGAAAGGGTTGCAGTGCTCTAAGACAGTGGTTCCAGTCATAACTGCAGTAAGTTCTGTATGATAATTATACACAGAGTGAGCATCACTATGTGCATTTTGCATTTTTGCGTTTTCTTTAGTCATTTTTTGTACATATAGTATATATGTAATAATCAACACAGTACTGTTGTGTAAAGACATTCAAAGCATTGTTTAGCTTTAAGCATGTAGTTTTTTATGCAGTGTTGTAAAAACATTGTAAACTGTGATAAAAGTTAGGTAATCTTTGCAATATATAACTTTGTGTAGCACTGCATCTGCTACCCCGGGCTCAAGGAGGACGCTGGAGGCAGGGTTCAGTGTTGCAGCAGCCAAAGTTTATTTCCCAAATAAACAAAGCAAACAAAACCAAATAATCAAAGCTCTGTTAAGCTGGCCACTTTTCAGTGGCTTTCAACTAACTAGACTTTTCAGTCGTTTTACTCAAGCTTTTCAGCTCTTCAGTTCTCGGCTGCTGCTTGTCCCTTTCTCTTTCGCTCTGTTCCCTCTCAGCTCTTTTAAAAGGCGCTCACGCTGCCAGCCAGATCAGCATCAGCTGGCTCTCATTAAGGGCACCTGAGCCGAGAGGGAGTGAGAGCTCGCCGCTCCGCCTCCCCGTCACAGCCCCCAGCTTGCAGCTCGGCCGCCTGGGTCGAACTTGAGGTGTAGTGAAGCGGCCTCACTGCGTACCAGGCGGCGGGGCTCGGGCGGCGGACCTCGGCACTCGCTCGTGCCTCTTGTGGCCGGCACTGTCGTCCTCATCCTCCTCGTCCCGCTGTCACTCTTGTGACTCGCGTCCCTCGGGGGAGCTCGGGCTTTGCGCTCCACCCCCTCCACACTCGCGGCTCTCTCCCTGCCGTCCTCAACGAGCTTCGCCGCCACTGGGTGTTCGGGGCCCCGCCTTCCTGCTGGCTCTCGCGGCCATCATCGTCAGGGCCCGAGGGGGGGCGAGCGCATGCCACACTTTGTATTCGGACATGCCTATTTAAATTTGTTGCATTTTGTATGTTGATTTGTCTTACAGCATTCTCAGTTCTTGTGGAGTCGTCTACAGCTGTATTCATCATTTTGGATCTAAAATATTGTACAATATTGAAATCAATATTGTACAATATTTTTCAATATTCAATATTGAAAAACAATCTTTTCATGAAATAAGTATTTTTTCAAATCCGTGTGTGTCACTATTGTTGGCACCCCTGGAAATCTTATTTGAAATGTAATACCATTCATGTTTCATGTTTTAAATTTAACCAAGTGATTAGGAACACTTAAATGGTCAGCCTTGACTTCTTGTTTCACTGGGATGTAAACGTGAGGTGGCACACAAGTTAAATTCCCTCAGACAATCCACCGCTATGAGAAAGACCAAAGAATCCAGCAATGATGTGCAACTAAAGGTTGTTGAACTGTACAAATCAGGAAATGGCTACAAGAAAATAGCTAAACATTTGAAAATCAGGGCAATAGTTAAGAATTTTAAAGCAACTGGAGATAATAAGAATCTACCCAGAAAAGGATGCATGCCTGTTCTGACCCCACACACAGTGAGGAGCAGCCATGCAGAAAAGTACCTCATCCTCACTGTGAAGTATAGTGGTGGATCTGTGATGTTATGGAGCTGTTTTTCTTCCAAAGGCCTTGGACAGTTTGTTTGGATACATGGTATCATGGACCCCTTCAAGTACCAGCAGATGGTAAATCAAAACTTGACTGCCTCAGCCTAAACTGGTTAGATCCATCGTCCATCCAGCTGGACGATGATCCAGAGAACCCTATATCAATGCAAAAATGGTTCACTGACCACAGAATCAAGGTTTTCCCATGGCCATTCCAGCTCCCTTACCTAAACCCCATGGAAAACCTGTGCAATGAGCCGAAGAGTCCACATGCATGGACCTCAGAATCTGAAGGATCTGGAGAGATTCTATATGAAGAAATGATGTTAGATCCCTTGTTAGATCAGAGCTGTTATCTTTGCAAAGAGAGGTTGCTCAAATTTTTAATTGTACGGGTGCCAACAATCGTGGCGTGCCCTGGTTTGAGAAAAATATTTATTTTTAATGAGATTTAGAGTTTTTTTCCCCACAATCATTGTACTTCAAATAAGGTTAGATTTCTGTTAATAATTTGAATGAACAGTGATTTCAAGTTTTAACAGTTGTGGAATCAGACAGTCCAGAACTCTGAGCTATGCATTGAAGCCAGTTATGTGGGTGCGAATGGCCTAGCGTAATCCTTCCATGCACTGCTGGTTTTGAGTATGTATTGTGCAGCACTCTGCTTACATGCACACAGACAAACCCATCTGACTAAGCAATTGTGACAGGAATTTGGAGGCTGATGTGGCGTTGCGCAGTACAGCGGCTGTCTACTCTTACTGCAAGTCCCGTGGCCTCTATGCCGGAGTGTCACTTGTTGGCTCCTACCTCATCGAACGCAAAGAAACCAACAGAAAGTAAGTAGTACATCTTTTAGCATTAGGTAATGTAGTTGCTAATATATTACATAATATCTTTTTATTATTTGACTTTTTGTTTTTTGAACTGGAGTGATCCTTGCAGTTCGTCTCAATGTTGGCCTTGCTTTTCTCTCTGGAAGGTTCTATTCCCAGGACATTCGTGCGTCTTCCATTCTCAATGGAGATGTGGAACCTCCCCCTGAAGCCCATGACCTTTATGCCATTTTGGAGGACTATACAGAGAAGTACACCAGCGAGTGGCAGAGCAAACATCTACGGTCATCCAGCAGGGTCAGTGTTCCTCCAACCAAGCTCACGTTCTGACCTCAGATTCCTGGAAGCATGTTTACACACTTATCATTTTTACAATGCCTAATAGACTTCAAAAGTGAGATTAAACAGAAACAACTGTGAATGTTATCAACTAGGTCTGTAGTGTGACTAAGGCTACGTTTACACAGCAGGTAAAAGTGGCCCAAATCTGATCTTTTTCCGCATATGTGACACAGATGTGTCATTTGTGTGGCAGTGTGAACAGCAAAAAACGCATTGAATCTGACATTTTCAATTCCGATTTGAGACGCTTTCATATGTGGTACTGAAATGTGACTTTCATGTGACTTTTACGTCAATCCAACTCAACATTCGTCATAATTTCACGCTGCTGAGACTCAAACATTTAGGCTGATGTTTCTGTACCAAAACGTTAGAAGAGACTCATCAAACCGCACCGTGTTTGAAGAGGTTTCGAATGGAATGGCCGAACGCAGCCGGAGGAGACTGAGGCTGCAGCCTCAGAGAATAGTTAAAAGAATCCGAGGACACGAACCAAAGAAGTGGCCATGGACGAATAACGTGCCCTTTTTTTGGCGAACTCGAACACGTTGTGGGTGATGAGTCCAGCTGTCAGTCATTGGAACTTTAGAATCGCTCCTGTGATGCTGGCAAAGACGAAACTAAAAGCTCCGGGAATGACTTGCGTTCGCTGGCCGTCATGATTGTTTACCCTTGGATGAGCCACCACGTGAAGCATTGTTCTTTTGCACATGCAGGTCGGTTTAGGAGCATGATCTGTTCAGACTGATGTCGCATACAGGTCACATTTAAAAGATAATGTGCAGCCAAACAAAAAAAAATGGGAAGGCCATAAACCGAAGTTCAGAAGACTTGAGTTCACCAGGGGCTCCCTGAGCTCACAAAGATTCTATAGAACACAATTCATACACCATGAAACCATTAAACTTTTCTCCACTCATTGATTATTTTGGCACCTTTGAGAATATTTTTTAAAAATACAATGAATCCACAATGTGACTAGAAAAACTGTTTATACAGAAGTGGAAAATAGACAGTTATCATACCAAGCTGTTTTTGGAACATTTGAAAACAGCCAAAAAACACTGTTTTGAATATTATTATAGCCAGTTAAAATTGAGACATTTTGAGGGCAATCTAGGAACAAGTTTCGTACATAGCATCCATAATAAGGGTTAGGCAGCTCAATAGATGGTTTATCTGTACTGAATTCAAAATATATTCAGTGGTTTTAATGAGGAATTTCACAGATTTTTAAAATGTGTTCGAAATTCAACATTTGACATGTAAAACCACGTCATTCAAAGAGGTTTTATGTTGTGGTTCATTTTAGACACGTAAAGCTGCTTTTTGTATTATTATTAAAATTGAATGAAGTAGCATTACTGAATCAGGAAAGAAAACATGCTAAAATATGGTATGCGTGTGCTGCTGTAAGTTGCTCTGTAAAGCCTGAAATAATAATTAAAAAATCAGAGGCGTAGAGTTGGATTTTCAACAGGATAACAGTCATTAGATTCATCTACTCGGGGATGGAGTCAGAATTGTGAGCATCGTTACAAAATGTTTTTTCACACAATTTCCACCAGAGGTCTTCAAATCCCCTAATTTTACATTGTGTAGCTTTAATAACTGATTTCTTTACTGTGGTGGTGATAGGAACCAGGGGTTGTGATACAGAAACTTCCAATCTTTTTGTCTTAAGATCTCACAGGTCAAGATGAACATTTTTCACAAGTGTGTATTACAGAAGCAAATTTTATCTTAATTTAGGAATCTTATCCAACAGCATCTAATCTCAAAGAAATATTAACTTACTTGATCCAAGTTAACTGTTGTTATGTCTGTTACCTAGCAACCAACCATACGCGCACAGCTGTAATGGAAAAATGTAATCAAAGGTCAAACAGAACTAAAGCGCGATAAACTATATTCAATTTAGTTTAAGGTAACATGATTATGCTAGTTATAGTGAAACATACTGCCTGTCACTGCATAAAACGATTAGAAACAGATGGTTGAAACAGAAGTTAAGACACCTCTAGAATTGTCTTAAAGTTAGGACAGAATTCAGTAAGTTTTGTCTAGTTAGGATGTTTCTGTAATGCTGTTTTCTTATCCAGAGTTAATGGATAAGACTATGAATTTAAGAACTGCTGTTCTGTAAAAGCTTCTGTCCTAAATTCAGTCCTAACTGAAGTTGTCATGGTGACTAAGCAGATAATAGCTTACAAGGTTTCTGTAATACGGCCCCAGGTGTCATATACATATACAGGTAATATAATTGTTTTATTTGCTAACTGTATAGTCAACATGCACATTTTCAGAGTTTTAGTATGTAATGTTGATAAAGGTGAAGTAATGGTAGTAAAGCTGTTTGGTTCTTATCACCACCACTGCGAACAATTCTGACTCAGTTTGTCTGGAACAGAGAATTTTGCATGGGGCCACTCTGAATGACTAGTTTAGTGGAATCTGAAAACGGGTTTTTTTTTCATCTCTGTGATCTTAATGATTGAATTATTCTGAAATGTTGGTGGAAAAATATATCTGTGGAATTTCTGTGGAAAGTCCTGTTGCTTGGGGTCTAGTTTATAATATAAATAATTCAAGTACTGCTTACTGAAGTGTCTTTTTATTTTCACAGATGAGTGCAGCCCCTAGAAGACCAAAGCCCCCAATGCAGAAGGCTGCTTCCTCCTTCACTCCAAGGGCAGAGGGTAAGACATTAAAAGAATGATGAAACTAAACTCCCATGTGATCTAGAATAGAATTGCTGACTCTTGACTTAATGATTGGCTCATGATGCTGTGAGTCATTTGTTCCCTACTTAGTCAGAAGTGTTGTTGTCCTGGCCATTTTAAAATGGATAACCTTTTGATATAATGCATAGAATTTGGAATTTTTTAGTGAACATCTGTGAATAAATACAGCTACTGATAATAACAGGTCATAATTTTAACAGCTTATTTTACAGAAACAAAACCAGCACTGTATCCCAGCCTCTCAAGCTGGCCATCTGAAAGATCAGGTGAGTGAATCTTACAGGTGTCTTACAGTAAACAATGAATGTTACATTCCAGAGGCTATTCTTTGCTGGAAGAGAATGGAGTTAATAAGGAATAAAATAGGAGGAATAAAAATAGCTATAATTGTGGATGGTACAATCCCAGGTATTCCTTTTCCGGAATTACTTATGCCAGTAATGAAAACTTGTTTAGGGGAGCGGTTTAAGGGAGAGGTTTAAGGGAGAGGCACAGTTTTCACTCTCTACCATATATCTTAGGCATATCATACAATATGATAACCCAAACAGCAAATTAAAGCTAAATCTTGTATTAAAAAAACCAAAAAAAAACCTTCTAGTGTTAGAAAATATTTTCTGAAATGAGTGCCTTCATGATTTCATCTATGTTGTGCGTGTTGGGGATGGTTGGCACAGTGTTAAAAAATTTCAAAGAATAAACAACAAATGAAAATAATCAGAGCTTTTAAATTGAAACCAAACCACCCATATAAACATTCAGTGGCAATCAAATAATATACAAATGTTTTATTTATTATCATTAGCTTCTATTGGACAGTGGCTTTGATTAGAAAGGGTTTGGCTTCTTAATATAACCCTCAGACACACAGACCTTTTTTTTTAATTAGGCGTGCAATTGGGTCATTTATATGCTACATGTGCTCAACTGACTCCAGCCAGAGTGAATGATCTTCAGTGGTCTTAATTACCATGATGGACAGCTCATTGGCAAAATAAGGTGGTGCTATATAGAGTTGCCTATAGACTATGTAAACCTCAGTGAGGAGCCAAGTGCCAGGCCAAATGAAGTGTTCATTGCTAAATGATGCCTAAGGACATTGTTTGGGCTGTTGTAGGATAACAGAGTGAACAAATTACACTATACAACTAAACAAGCAGCAAGTTTTTGCCCAGTGATGTGTTACATTGGTTTGCATCGTTTCATTGCAGTGTTCCTTTTATTGTTTCCGAAAACATCCATTGTTTTTTTTAACTGAGTTGGACCATGGATTCCTTGAACTGAAAAAATAAAGGGGTTTTATGGTCTGCTGTCCAAGAACAGACTTTGGTCCAAGAGGCCTGACAAATGGACTGGAGTGCCTCTAAATCCCTTGACAAACAGAGATTTTATTAGAGCTTAAAAGAATAGCTGAGAGTTCATTGCTATCTGGAATACTTCCTTTTTGATTTATTTCCCCAAAAGGTTCAATGACCTGTGAGAAAATATGTTCAGCTGATGTACTGAAGTAAAGAACAAACATGAAATTGTAAATGAAAGGTCTTATCCCAGGCTATGGATCATTTTAGTAGTATCAGTGTGATTTTATAGTCGTTTTTATATATTATTTCTATTATTTTATTATTTATCATTTCTTTATTTTTTATTTATGATTTTGAATTGGATCCATGTCCTATGTAGACGTAGTATGTTGTCAAGAACAAGCTTGGAAAGAAATAATTACTCTTATCCATCACTCCATCATAACCGTGGAACCTTTAACAACATTGAAAAGTCAGAGGCAGCGAAATGGATACACATGCCAGTCATGAAAAGAAATGCTAATCTAATAAGAATAGGCAGTAATTAGTAATGGACAATTAAAACTGTAAAAATGTTGAAACCTCCATGATTGCAAAAAAGCTCTCATTCATCCGGACCTGCGTGTGGTGAATGATTTGTGTTCTTTTCAGTTAGAAAGCCACATTTATTTTTATTAGACTCCCAGAGGCCTGTGTTTACAGTTGAATTGTGGGGATTAAATAAGAAATCACGCACTGAACACAGCCCTGTCTGCCCTTGTTTCTGAGGGAAGCCACTTGGCTTGGCTGGGAAGCTTTATACAGACGCCATGAGCAAGAGTCTGGCCTTTTTCCCATCTCTTCTCCTCATAGGAAAGGCCCTCATGCTCTTTGCCATGTCAGGAGTCAGCTGCGCAGCTAGTGCATTCTTTCCCACAGAGAGATGACAATAACATCAGTAAGAGGGAGGATTACACAGGGTGCTGGCCAATAGCTGATATGTGTGATGAGATGGTGTGCGCCCCGCATTGACCCGAATATCACAATATTCAGCTGCTGCCATTTCCTCTAAATCGGGAGCGAAAACAGACCTAGAGAAAGTTCGCTACGTTTAGTCTTGATCTTGTGCTGCCATTATTTTAATAGTTGTGTTACAATTTAGGCAGCATGCAGCATTATCATTTTGTTTTCCCTCAGTCAAAACAGTGTTGCAATGCAAACATTTTTATAGTCTTGTGATGCAGAAAAATATAGACCAGCAACAGTGTGCATGATGAGGTACGGTCTAGCTCTCAGTCTAACCAGATATCAGTACTTCATACGTATGAATAGGGCTAGGCAGTAATACTATTGGCAAAAACTAAATTGGAAACTAATTGGCAAACAAATTTTCAGTATCAATAATGCACATTTGAGTAAGCTGATTATGCCACTGTGTTCCTCAGTCCAGCTTGACAGCAAATATTTGAACTTTAAATAATTGCGATGTCAGTGTACTAGGTGGTGATGTACAGGGACTCCAACTGGGACACTGGGACTCCACCCTACAAAAACAGTTTTTTTTAGTTATTTGAACCTCCTTAAACCCTTTTTAATTATTTTTTTATACAGATTGTCATTTCACTGGAGAGCATGAACATTTATTAATAACAGACTGGGAAAGGGAACCAAATTTGTTTATTACACCTAAAAGTTAACAGCACTTTTGTTGAAACTACGCATCATGCACTTCAGAACAGAGTAAAACAACTATACACGGTTTCTGTATTAAAATATGTTTTCGAGATCTAAGCTGGAATGCAGTTCTGTTTGGACTTTTACTCACAGATACTTCTGGCCCATATTGTCCAAAATGTCTTGGTTTGCTGAAGTATTAAGATTTCCCTTCACTGGAACTAAGGGGCCTAGACCAACCCCCGAAAACAAACCCTTAGCATTATCCCTCCTATACCAAACTTTATAGTTGGCACAGTGCAGTCAGGCAGGCACCGTTCTTCTGACATTTGCCAAACCCAGACTCGTCCATCAGACTGCCAGATAGAGAAGCATGATTCCAGTGTCCAGTGGCTGCGTGCTTTACACCACTCCGTCTGACTTTTGCCATTGTGCTTGGTGACGTAAGGCTTGCACACAGTTGTGTGGCCATGAAAAACTATGCCATGAAGCTCCCGGCACAGTTACTGAGTCGAGTCGAGTCAAAGTTTATTTATATAGCGCTTTTTACAACAGGCGTTGTCACAAAGCAGCTTTACAGAAAAGTCCGGGTCCAAACCCCCATTAACAAGCCAGTGGTGACAGTGGCAAGGAACCCATCCTCCTCTGGTCGACATCGGATAGCAGACAGCATTAGTATAAAATATTAGAATACAAAACAGGGAAAACAGGTGGAGCAATGGTTGATAGATAGTTCGAGTTTATGCAGCAGCATCATCATCAGGAGGGTCAGTTCATGCAGGGGTTTGCACAGCTTTGTATAGCATGAAGCTCCATGGTGGTCGAAACGGTGCAGATCAGCCAACGGAGATGGAGCTCTGATGACTCTAGCAGCTCTGGTGGCTCCCATGTGGTGACTAAGGCAAACGTCGCTCAGGGGCTCAAATAAAGAGCGAGTGTGAGCGAGACAGAAATTGATGAACAGGACAGGTCAGTTTATGGAGAGATATTAGAGTAATAGTACAAACTGTTGACTGATATATTAGCAAAATGCTTGTGCAAACAGATACTTTTTGAGTCTAGTTTTAAATGTAGAGAGTGTGTCTGAGTCCCGAACAGAGGTTGGGAGATAATTCCACAATTTTGGGGCTATGTAGGAAAATGCTCAACCACCTGCTGTGTCTTTTCTAATTCTAGGAACTGTCAGCAAGCCGTTATTTTGTGAGCAGCGTGTATGTGTGGGTTCGTATGACTGAATTAATTCACTAAGATACTGCAGGGCCAGGCCGTATAATGATTTATACGTTTAGAAAAGGATCACATTTTTTGGTCCTTGTAAGGACTCTAGCAGCTGCATTCTGGACCATTTGGAGCTTATTTAGTAATGTATTGGAGCATCCAGCCAACATGGTGTTACAGTAGTCCAGCCTGGAGGTTATAAAGGCACCAGCTTTTCCGCATCATTTAGGGATAGAATATTACGTAGTTCAGCGATGTTACACAAGTGAAAATGCGGTTCTAACAATGTTGCAAACGTATATCAAAAGAGAGACTGGAATTGAAGATGATGCCTGGATTTTTTACGATGGTGCTTGGAATGACTGTGTGGTCATCTAAATTTAGTACAAATTTGGTGAGTTGAGATCTCGCTGCTTTGGGTCAATTTTGTTAGGATTAAGAAGAAGGAAATTGTTGGTCATCCAGCTTTTGATGTTTTTTACACATTCTTCGTTTATTTAGATTCAGAGCCTCATTTGGTTTAGCAGATCTGTAGGGCTGCGTGTCGTCCGCACAGCAGTGAGAACTAACGCCGAACCTGCAAATTATGTTACCAAGAGGTTGCATGTACAGAGAGAAAAGCAGCGGCCCGAGCACTAATCCTTGGGGGACACTGTATTATACTAGCGTATGATCAGAGTGTTTACTGTTAACACTGACAAATTGGTAACGGTCAGTCAGATAGGATCAGAACCAGGACAAAGCATGTCCTTTAATATCAACCAGATTTTCCAGCCTATCAAGGAGGATCTTGTAGTCCATAGTATCAGAAGCTGCGCTGAGATCTAGAAGGACTAGTGTGGAAATATGGCCACTATTGAGAGACACAAGGAGATCATTTACTACTCTAGTTAATGCTGTTTCAGTACTGTGAAAGAGTCTAAAGCCAGACTGGAACATCTCATGGAGAGAGTTCTCCTTGTAGATAGGAGCGCAGTTGATGTGGGACCACTTTTTCTAAGATCTTTGCAGTGAAGGGGAGATTGGAAATTGGGTTATAGCTGACGAGTTCATTGGGATCAAGATCTTGCTTTTTAAGTAGGGGGTTAACGACT